ATTTTTGAAGACTTTACGTTGATATGTTGTCTTAAGTGATGTACCTCGAATTGATTTTACACTAGATAAAGATAATCCTACGAGACCATTTGAAGTTGTTTCAAATAAAACTAAATTGCCTTGTTGAACCTGCTGTAATGAAGTAGAAACTGTTGGTTGAATTGTTGATAAGTGAGTAGCATGTACTGGTGAAACTATATCAAACAAATCAATTTCATTCTGATTTATAAAGAAAACCGAAAAATCCCATAAAATTCACTATGATAATTACTTTTACTACATTATCAGTTGTCTTATTTAGTTTCTTGATAAGAAAAAAAGAAGAATATTAAATTGAGAAAATTTTCTAGCTTATTATAGAAATGAATTTAGTTAAATTCTCAACTTTTGCTTAATCTCGTCATATTTTCAGACACATAAGAGAACTATGAACTGGAAAATAAAGTTAAAAGATCATTTCAAATGAATTAATTATATCGAACAGCAATGATCATAAAATCAAAATTGAATAATTTCGAAAAAAAAATATAAATGTAGAACTAGACTAATGAGCGAGAAAAATATTCCATTTACTAGAATAGAAAAAAAAACAAGAATAGTTCTTATAAATTGCGTTCAATATTATTCTTTCGGTACATCATTGTACAATTACTATTGTACATCAACTTTAGATTAGATTACACATTGTCTTGCTGAATTAAAATAGCTGTTCTTGGTCAATTATACTCAACCTTTAGCATTATTTTATTAGAAAAGTATCTCATTGTCAAGAACTTCTTACGGATTTGATAAAGTTCACTAAAGATTCTTTATCGAGTCATTATGTATTCTAGTACTTATATCTAAATACAAAAAGGTTCACGTCAACTAAAAATAAAAGGTTTCTTCAACATAAACTTAGTCGATAGATGTTAAAACTCAAAATTCAAACTAATAATATTTCGAATAAAGAATCTCCAACAATTATGGAAATCATAAAAACTGATTCATTTAATATAATTGAGGATGATACAACTTTAGTTAAAATATCTATTAGATACGCTTCTTGTTTTTTTGAAATTAAATATAGAATATTGAAATACGGCAAGTCCTACATCAGAATTTCAGCAAACAAATATTTCTTTAACTCTGTAAGTCTTTATATGATAGTCAGAATATTATAGTAAATGAAAGATTACTCATGAGATGTTTACATAATAATAGAATTATTATCCGTTAAATGACTTTTCCAACACAAATTACTCACGATAACTTGGAGTAACTGCAGTACTTGTTCCTCCAACATTGATATCATTTGTATCTTCATTGTCAGATATCTGTTGCATTCGTTTTAGAGATTTTATTTTTCCAGATATCCATTCTGCTGTGTTGTTAGATTTATTGTCTGTAACAAGTAATTCAAT